CCGAAGGTTTAGAAGATGAAGAAATGTACTAATTTGAGAAAATATATATCCTAGAATTGCAATTTTACAGAACAATTGGCATAAATATTAGTGGTGGAGACGTTTTCTTGTAAGTCCACTAAAAACAGTCCACAGTGTAGTTTGTGTCTGAGTAACCTTAATTTTATGTGGTTGGCAAAATTACAACAGAAAGTTTATTCTCTTTTTTTCCACCCTGCTGTCCGAGGCACCTGCCTGTGGGGGTTGGTACATGATTTACAAGTTATTTGTGGTCGCGTGGTCTGTAGGGGCTGAGTTGTGCGAGAAGTTGACTCCGCTGGGACTAAAGCGGACCGACTGTTGGTGTAATGACGTAGAACATTCCCAGCACGTACTGCATGACTTGCCTTTTTGCTGTGGACACACGGGTACGCACGCTTTCGCCGGCAGGATTTCCTTATATATTTTTTCTGCCAGACAAAACTCGAGTGTTGATCTATGCGCACCAGACTTCCATTTCTACTATTCCTACAAAAAATTATTTCATATATATAAAGACATTTTCAGAGCTTTGTAAACTTTTTGTGTCTGAGACCGCTGGAGCATGGAGAAAACTGTATAATGCGGACCTTCGTAAGTTGTGCTCTTCTCTTAAGAGGGTTACGGTGATTAAATCGAGGAGAGTGAAATGAGCAGCACAGTCAGACATAGGTAAAATCAGAATTTACATACGCGCTTTAGGAGGGATACCTTGATCACTTGGAATACGAGACGTTATGTTTTCGTCAGTATTGGACTGAAGCTTAGAGAAATAGGTTGTGAGGGTGTGAACTGGATTTATGACGTCATAACGGGGTTATGAGCCGGGATAGCTCAGTCGGTATAGCGACAGACTACGGGTCAAGAATGGCGGAGCTATACTCGCGCTCTCCTATACGTCTTCCTGGCGTGCTGCTTAATTAACTAAGCGCAAGGACAACTTTACGTCTATCTATCTATCTATCTATCTATCTATCTATCTATCTATCTATCTATCTATCTATCTATCTATCTATCTATCTATCTATCTATCTATCTATCTATCTATCTATCTATCTATCTATCTATCTATCTATCGCTTTATAGCCCTTTGGACTTTGGCCGCTTTTTCAGGTTCTTAATCCTATACACACAGTCAGTAGGACTCCTTAGACGGGGGATCAGCCCGTCGCAAGGCCGCTACCTACACACAGAATAAACGCACATAGACAGCCATGCCTTGAGTGGGATTCAAACCCACGATCCCAGCATTCGAGCGGGCGAAAATTTTGGTGCCTTAAACCGCGCGGCCACGTGATCGGCACAACTTTACATTTACTTTTCCTAATTTTTTTTTAAACACGATTGCCGTAAAGGCAGAGGGTTCCTTGATCAGCTGAGTAACTGTCAACTTTTCTTACCTAACCAATAACTTCGTAATGTACAGCGCAGTTAGTGTTGTTAGCGTGGTCAGGTTGAGAAAGGTGAAACATGGTGTGTATACAGAATTTTAGCGAAGAAATTCTTACATTGAAAATTTTGAACTCGGGCAAGGAGTTCGAAGCACAACGTTAAATTTGATCGCAGAGATGTGTGTTGTGAACTTGAACTGATTCAGGAGGTACTCCAGTATTGGGCGTACGTTATCATAGAAAGCATACAGAAAACTCCTTGGAAAGCTGCTACCTGGAAGACAGGTAGGGCTCCGATAAATAGTAGTGAAGTGGATCTCAAAGAATTACATTGAGATTATATGAGTAAAATTGATCTATTTGGCCCAGTTTAGGGTCCGGTAATGCGTACAGGTTGTTTATATGCACGAGTAAATTGCTGAGTTCGTGTAATACTTGTTAAGAATTTGTAGGATGCAAGTGATACGCGAAGTTTTTTAGAAAATTGTACTAGGCTATTGCCAGGCATTTTTCTGGTACAAACAGTGTCCTTTATACCGCTCCGTGCAGTAGGGTACTTACGTACTTATTTCTTAAACTGGCATACTTTGGCGGTTGTGGGACATTCTCCCGTTCAAATGGAATTAATTACTTTCAGGGCTGTAAATCACCATAGGTCGAAAATATAAATACTTTTTAATTGGATAGCAGATGTGGTTCATTTTACCCATGCACATATATTGCAAATAATTTTTAAATATTGGCTTGATTTCATATTCATATTTTTAGTAGACAGGTTCAAATTGGAATTTAGTTTTGCTACTAAAGAGGCAACGGTGACCACAGTGGCCGCGCCATCTAAGGCATGAACTGTTTTCGACTGTTCAAACACTGAGATCGTGGGCTCGAATCCCATTTGAGGCATGGATGTTTGAGTTTGTTCTGTGTTTGTGCTCTCCTGTACAGGTAGCCTTGCGACGGGCTGATCATCCATCAAAGGAGCCCTACCGTCTGTGTAAAGGATCCAGAAACTGAAAAAGTGGCCCAAACCCTTTGTTGGGCTTTACAACCATAGCTACGTAGATAGACTAAAGAGGCAGTGGTTAAATGTTCTGCTTTCATTAATCTCAGTGAGAACTTCCTACACGTAGATGGTATAAACTTGGGTTTTAGTCACGGCCAGTATAAATAAGATAGGTATTGATATTCGTTTAGATTGATACATTTCGGAATTTTAGGACACTTGTCGTGCAGTTCTGATGCAAGGCTATTGCCTGCGGCCGAGGCTGAATCTCGTGGAACGGACTATTCTCTTAGCCATGGTGTCTAGACGAATTCTGGGGCCCATTATCGATTTGTACCAGAGGGTCTTTCTCCGAAGGGCGAAGATGGATCACTGACTTCCATCGATTGTCGAGATTAAGAATATATTGGGTTCAGGTTCTTACCCCCATTCCATATGCCTTCATTGCTTGGGACCTAGGTACAGGGCAGCTTTACCTTGACCACTATCTCAGAAGAAGTTCGTGTCGAGTCTCTCAACACAGGAAACACATCTCCAAACAGTTTTCCTATTGTTGCATCATGTGACTCGCTCGAACCGCGTAGAAAACACCATTCCTGTGTTACTGTTTTTCGGTTATTACCCGGCAACGGTAATTTTTGCAGAATCATTACTTTGCAACGGGTCTAGATGCTGCAGTGTCCTTGTTGCGCAGATCTAATATCATTTTCATTTTGTGATCTCCCAGAATTCAGTTCGCAGAATCGGATCGAGGACACGCGATTCTATTGACGTAAGAGGATTTATAATGTATGAGCAGAGAGGTATGAGAACAGCTACTTTAACGATTATCGATTACTTAATTACGTGGCAGAGGTTTATTTTCTCGTTAGTATTTGTTAGTATTTTTAACTTGCGTTCACTCGTTCCGGAATCATTAGTATTGGAAGGATAAGCGGATAATGCTTATTATCTTTATTATGACTACTGACTGTTTTTGGTGTTTGACTGTCCTTCTGCTCGGTGCCCCTATGCTGCCAAAGCGGTGGGTAAAGATCTCGACATAATAGTCCGGCGACTACACCCTACAACCATTTGCTCCCGCAAAGAAAAATCCAGCGAAGTACGTTGCGTNTTTTTAATAATATTATTCTTTCTCTTAATGTTCTGTGTTATGTAGTTCGTAGTTATCATGTTCTTCTTACCACTCCTGATCTTCCTTTGTTTCTTTACTTTCTGAATTAATGTGTTGCTTCCTCCAGTGCTTGACTGTAATATGTCTTTGATTTTATGTAACTACCTGTATCTACACTGTGCTCTGTCTGTAATTGGCCTTGTAGCTGTTGACTCAGCACATAAGTAATAAAGAATTGAATTTAATTATCTCAAAAGGGCTCTGCTCCAAGTTTTTCTTTTTTCTTGTTTTTGCTAGTGGGGTGGGACTAAGTCCCTTGTACTGCGGCCACTTCTGGCCTATTACACCAGCCCCAGATGATAGGTGAGGGTGATAGTGGTGCAATTAATGGAATGAAGATTGGCATGGGAAACCGAAGTACTCGGAGAAAACCTGCCCCAGCGCCACTTTCTCCACCACAAATCCCACTTTACCAGACCCCGAGATCGAATCCGGACCGCCGCGGTGGGAAGCCAGCGACTAACTACTTGAGCTATGGTGCGGCCCTCTGCTCCCAGTTAGTTTGTTTCGTAGTTATTATTATTATTACTGTTGTTCTTATGCTGTAACTCTGGGATGCTTAATCAATTCTCTGCTGTTTTTCCATGTACGCGTATAGACTTCTCTCTCAAATCGCCTTTTGCATTTAGGTTTCCTGAGTAAAGTCTTGTATGCATTTCTCAGTACATGCTGCTTGCATCACAGCATACTGTGAGGATTCTCTTGTGTAATTTTATCTATCCACGCTTTCCTCAAGCGTTTTGTTTCCAAAGACTCGGTCTATGTTCTTGCCTTAGGGTAAGAGACCAAAGTAGCTCACGGTGGTGGTGCTTGAAAATAGAGCTCTCATACTCTCTCTTATCTTAGTAGTTGCTACATATGTACTCCCTTGGAATACATGTTTTCTAGTACACCAAATCTGATATACAGAATCTTCCAAAAATAATGCAACTATTTTAAATTACTGTAAATATGTTATTACCTCAAAACGATTTATTCTTGTGGGGCTATGTGAAAGATATTGTCTATGTACCACCATTGCCCAGGAATTTGCAGGAGCTGCAGAATCGCATTGTGGCTGTTTGGAAGGCGTAAAAATGGATATGTTACAGCGATTCTGGCGAGAAATTGACTAAAGTATGCATGTATTCCGTGTGACACTAGATGCATATATTGGGGGATTGTAACGAACAGGTATGAAACTTGGAGAGTTTTTTCTGTGTTTTGAAATATATTAAATCGTTTTCAGTCAATAATTAACATAATTATAGTAATTTAAAATTGTAGCAATCTTTTTGGGAGACCCTGTGCTAAGTATACTGGAGTTAAGGAACAATGCAGATACGAGTATGCTGTACATATGTGCGTTCTTATGTCTGCCATTTAAATTTCAACAGGTATAAGTCTCTTATTGATTTATTTTTCTTTGTTCCAGTCGGTGCTTAAGACTTCTCGTCCTGGGGTGAGTTACAAATTTCTAAACATGTATTGCTTATGTTTGAATGTGTTCCTTACACGGTGTCAGTACAATTAACGTCTTAGGCTGGGGCCACGCGAACGCCGAAGTACGTCAATTGCAACGTACGTACTTTATGACGGACGTTGCTGAGGACACCACACAGTTGCAGAATGCGGTGCGTAGGGAGAACGTGACTGCCCGTCCATATGTCGAATCTCTAAAACAAGTCAATGGATTTCAGTCAAATTTGTCATTGAATGTGCATTCTGCAGAAGCTCAGTGTATTTAATTTTGGTCCATAACATCCCCCTACTTTATACACAGCTTAAATATATCTTAACCCGTCCAACATGCATAATAAGAAGACCACAAAATAAGTTGGAATGATGCAGATTGAACCCAACACCACATACATTATTATAAGGAATCTGCCCACATGTCACTATCCGATCATTCTACCCAACTTGGACATCTCACCCATTTATATCCAGTTATCACAGCAGAGGTCCAGAAACTTCAACTCCTTCAATTGTATATTGAGCGAAAAAATCTGTTTATCTTGTATTGGTACTATAGGGAGTATGTATTTTCTCCAATGATGATTTCTGTCATGATAGTTCTCTACTACAAGGCCTCATACGTGTAGAGTTTCTAATAATTTAATGTTTTCTTAGCTCTCGCAGATGATTTGTGCTGTGCTTGGCTTGTATAACCCATCTTGCTGCTGGCACAGATGTCCGGAGATAGGGACTAGTTTGATCGATTGAGCCCAACTGAGTAGGTTTTACCCGAAGACGAAGACAGATCCCAGTCTCCGAAACGTCATTTTTGTGAAATAAACAGGACAATGTTTTTGGATAAAGACATAACGATGGATAATGTCCAAAAAACATAATATTTGTACTAATTTCTTCATTAAAATAATGGAGTCTTTGTTCGTTACTGATGGAATATGTTAAATGTGTTTTGTACTTTCCAGTTTAACAAGGCAGAAAGTAAATATTGACATGTATCCACTCTACACATGTGGTTTTTGTATGGACACATGCTCGTACATATTTTTAGTAGACTTTGCGCCGTGTTTACTGCTAATTATTGTAATGGATGAATGGCAGCACTGCTCTCTGTCAACTTTAGAACTTGAAGTATCCCTATATGTAACATCAGCTGTAAACACTATGTTCTTTTTGCGTAAAGCTAATATTAACCTTAATTTTCTGCCGGAAATCAGAGTTTGTGTAGAGATCACCCATGCTTACATGATCCGTTCGATTGGTGGAGCTGCTAATGAAAACCAAGTGTAACGTGTGATCGCTAATTGGGTGCGGCATGTAAAATAACCAAAATCCTGCGATGTTTCCAGTTACTACCGACATGTGGCTGACCAAATTCCACCCCCCCCCCACACACACACAGGGGATAAAATGTACAGTGCAGTTAGTGAGTACAACCAGTCTTTACGTCTTACAGTCTTAGAGTTTCCAAACTCTTTGTCGTGCCATAGCTTGGGCGGTTAGTCGCCGGCTTCCCACCATCGCCTTCATCGAAAAGTAAAATGGGTACACGTAGAAGCGAATTTCGGAAAGAACTCGTACATGACCTCTCTAGCTTTAGGAGCTAAATCAATAGAGTTCTCTGCCACTGCGTCACAATCTTCGAGCCTCCTAGGGGAGAGCTAGCCAGCAGATCTCTTGGAATGGTGTTCTTCCTTGGTGGATTCAATAGATAGGATATGTTAGGGGATGAATTGAAAATCGTTCTTGTAGTTAAATGGGTCATATGCTAGTTTACGACACGTGTGTAATTATTATTAAAAATTTAAGTTCCTATACTTAGTTAATAAGCATTATGCTATGAAAACGGCCGCACCGTAGGTCAAGCGGTTAGTCGCTGGCTTCCCACCGCGGTAGTCCGGGTTCGATCCCGGGTCTGGTGAAGTGGGATTTGTGGTGAACAAAGTGTGGTTGGGGAAGGTTTTCTCCGAGTACTTCGGTTTCCCCTGCCAATCTTCATTCCACGAATTGCTCCACAATCACCCTCACCTATCATCTGGAGCTGGTACAATAGGCCAGAAGTGGCCGCAGTACAAGGGACTTAGTCCCACTCCACTGGCAGTTAAAAAAAATGCTATGAAAACGTTGTGGGAGTGGAGGTAGAGTTCCATCATTCTTGACCTCGATACTAGATGGAGTTGAGAGGTCAACTTCGCTCTCCGGCCACTTTATTCCAAAGGAAAGAGCCTTCGGTACCCATTGGATAGGAGGCTGGGTGGGCCTCACAGTCGGTCTGGACGCTGTGGAGGAGAGAAAATTCTTGACCCTACCGGGACTCGAACTCCGACCCCTCCGTCGTTCAGTCCGTAGCCAGTCGCTATACTGACTCCGCCATCCCACAGTTCAGTATTAAATTAATACCATACCATTATTGCGTTAACTCGGAAGTCAAAAGTAGAAATGTGTCATTTATTCTTTGCTTGAACAGCGTAGTAAACATGAAGCATAATTTGGATGTTGGTCAGGAGAAGAGCGTTTTGGAAGGGGTAGATATACACCCTAATACCAATTCGACTCCCCGACATCATGTTTAACTACACTAGAATGGATGATCATTATTTTAGAGCAAAATAGGCGTAACACACAATGATACGCCACACAAATCGCAGTAAATCCTGCCAACTTTAATCGTTCAGACTTGTTATAGAATTGTGTGAATGGCATGAATATACGTGTAGGGATTTTCATCTCGAATCCTCTCCGGTGTCAGCGTTGTTGCAATCCTAGCAAAATTCTGGCTGTCATTTTGTCAGGAGAGCGTTTCTTTTTGTCTCAGTACAGAGACGATTTACAGCCTGAAGAGTTATTGATTTCTGTACCTATTTATCTTCTCATACAAGCTCGAGTTAAAATGATTATTCCTAGACTGGTCAATCCTACACTCATTAAGTGTCTTGGGAGAAAATGACGGTTATTGATCCTGGCTTTAAGAGAATGAATGATGATAAGTATACGAATTTTTTCATAGTCTGGGTCCAAATCATTTGGTCAAATTTCAAGATAGATTTCACAATTACAGGCTCTTTCTACTAAACCGTTACCATTTCATTTTTAGAGCGTAAACGAACCAAATTTCATAATACTTCATTTTATGGTACGGCCCTCCAAATTCGACATTAAATTGTGTTTGTGTAAGAGATAAAAATTTCCCTGTGCTTATTTTTTGTATTCATATATTACTATGAGGTTTGATTTTATGAAGATGTTGTAAAGAGGGACATTTTTCATGATGCAGTGAGACAAGAAAATATCCCGAGGACAGAAGAAAAATTACCATTGACTGTTTTAGTTAAAACTCAAATAAAATTTCTTGAAACAACTCTCTATATGGAATAAAAATAAATATGCATATATTATTACGGCATAAATTTTATTATTAACATGACAACTCTCAAAGGTTTCTCCTATCAGCTTCTAATTAAAGTTCATTAATGCAAATGTTCCATCTCAAAGAGTTCTTGCGGAATTAAATTATTTTTATCCACTGAAAACGAGCCTGAGGTTAACTTCTCCAGTTTTGAAGTAATAATAAATTATCGTGCAAGAAGTTAATTAATTTGGTGTATTTCTTTTGTAAAAAACATTCGATTCACCCACCTCCAGCTTCCAACATTGTTGGTATAGTTATCGCTCCTTCATATTTAGGACAACAAACTTAGAATATCAGTCAAGTTCTCGGGTGTCCTGAAAGGTTTCGTGGTTTACTTCACTAACTCAAAATCTTATCTACTCACAATTCATGATCATTTTCCTTCAATAGAAACGCCGTCATTAAATAACATAAGTTACTTACATACGTTATAATCGATGTCTACAATAGGCGACGTTTGAAGGACACAAGAATTGTACGAAAATCTTTGAGGATCATAAACTGTGAACATGACACATCATAAATTACATTTTGTTTTGTTAGAATTTCGAAAGGCTCAGACTGGATTTGATATTGGATGGGAATATTCAAATTACAAAATGTGAAATATGACCTACATACAGTACATCCTATCCAATTAAGAATTATATCTTCTGCGATATAACGCTGTATAATCCGTTGAAAGCCGGTCACGGTAGCCGAGCGGTCTAAGGCATGCACTGTCTTCGCTCGCTCGGAAGCCGGGATCGTGGGTTCGGATCTGTTTCCTGTGAGGTACGAACTGAATTCTTATATATTATTCTTATACACTGCCGGTCACGGTAGCCGAGCGGTCTAAGGCATGTACTGTCTTCGCTCGCTTGGAAACCGGGATCGTGGGTTCGGATGTTTCCTGTGAGGTACGAACTGAATTCTTATATATTCTTATACACTGCCGGTCACGGTAGCCGAGTGGTCTAAGGCATCTACTGTCTTCGCTCGCTTGGAAACCGGGTACGTGGGTTCGAATCCCACTCGGGGCATGGATGTTTAGTGTGTGTTTTTCTGTGTTTGTGTATAGGTAGAGGCCTTGCGACGAGCTGATCACCCGCCCAAGGAGTCCTACCGAATGTGTAGGATCTAGAAAAACCGAAGTGAATGGAGAAGTTCGTGGAGGTAGGCCTAGGCCCACTGGGGCTGTAGTGCCAAGGAAAAAAACAATCCGTTGAAAGTCAATCGATATATACAGAAACCTGTACTTCAGTAATATATGTTTCACAAAAAATAAAATAGTAGTTGTAACAATAATAGATGTAGAAATAATATGCAGTAGGGGAGAAGGTTGCCGATCACGGTGGCTGCACGGTGTAAGGCAAGAACTGTTTTCGCTCGCTCGAATACCGGGATCGTGGGTTCGAATCTCACTCAATGGATGTATGTGTGCGTTTATTCTGTGTTTGCGTTGTCCTGTATGTAGGTAACGGCCTTGCGACCGGCTGAACACTTTTCCAAGGAGTCCTACCGTCTGCGTAAAAATGTTACGAAGCTGAAGAAGAGCCCAGGGCCCAACAAAAAGTGCTTTGGAATGAAGGGGAGCAGGT